TCGTAGGATAATAAGCTTTAATAAACTTTTTTAGCATTATTTTAAAAAAAATTTTTACTATAAAAAAAAAAAAGCCGCGCGCCCGCGTCACTGATCACTGTCCCGTGATATGAAAACCAACTATATAATTTTGTGCGGCCTAATGCACTCAAAATACATTTTTTTTTTCAAAAAATTTAAAATACTACTGATAATGCCCGCAAAAGTATCGATGTTCTGCTATGTTCACGGCTGCCATGACAGAATTACTCAAAACTTTTTTTTAAAAGAAGTAACCGGTGTAGTAAAATCTGATGATAACGATCCTACTAAAATTTTGTTTTTAAAAATAAAAGCATTTGTATCTATTGATAAAGATGCTGAACATCATATAGAACCCTTTGAAATCGGTGACGTGATCTATATCAAAGAAAAATTTATAGCTTACGAAAATTATTACATGGTCTGTTATAAAATTATATATAAGATCACACAAAGTTAACTTTTCATTTTACATAACCTATACGTTTCAAATTTCTGACCGATTATCAATTTTTATACAAAAATCTATTTTCACAAGAGTTAAAGTCACCCCAACTATAGCCAATACTAATAGTTTTAGTTACTTAAATACCACAATGCCATAGTTACTCAATAATCGATATTAATCTATACAAAATTTAACTTTGCGTAATCTAATTATATACTTCACAATTACTAATTTTTTTTTTTTTAATTATAAGGTTACTGTTATATCTATCAAAGTAACTACATTAGAATTTGATAATATGCCAGTCCTAGGTATGAGTGTTGCAATAACTGGTCATACAGCTCAAACAGTCAGAACTGAAGACGAAAATTCAGTTCTTGACTTTTATATTGAAGAAAGAGTTGGAGAAAAAGAACCAAGCGAATTCTGGGTCAAGGTTAAACATAAAACAAACAACACCTACCTCGCGAATAGAACAAATTCAATCAACACAAAACTTCGCACTACTTCCGCCCTTCTTGTCGGCACCATGTATTATTGTCCTCCACCACCCGATTCTAATGAAGGAAAACATATCTTAATATTGGAAGATATTTCTTTACTTTCCGCACATATTAACAATAACAATACAAATAATCAAACCATCAATGTTCTTTGGTTACCCCAAAGTAACAATTCCGCACGCAGCCTTAACAGAATCAATCGTACACCCCGAGGGGCTACACCACGAACCACACGAACCAGTCGTACAACATTATCCCAAATGGGTCCAACAACCATAAACTCTAATCTTCAAGCCACTTTAGAAGCAAACCCATTATCACTAACAGTTAACCAAACTTCGCAAAGTCAAGAAATTCAATATCAAAACAATTTAACAGACCAAGACTCCGCTTAACTTACTTGTCTAAATAATCTAATCCCCTCTTTTTTTAAAAATTAAAAAAAAATAAAAATAACATTAAAAAATTAAAAAAAAACTTAAAAATAAATATTTTTTATCCTTTTTCGCCGTTTTTTCATCTCTATTCAAATTTCAGTTTTTCTTTCAATTAAATTTTACTATTTTTTCACTTTTATATGTTGAACCATTCTTTTTATTGAAATATATTCCAACACCTGGGGGGATCGTTTAAATCAAATGTTTAAAAAATTTACATCAATCAAATAATAAATCAAACAAAAGTTTAATATTTGTGTACATGTTTCATGTAATTAAATTATACTAATTTTTTCAAACGTTAGAGTTAAAAAATAAAAAACTAATAAAGTATTCGAAACCATGTTCAAAGAAAATAATATTTTCATATTCAAACCCTTCAATTTTCAATCTACATTCATTTGAAAGTACCTCTAACATACTCGATCAATCTAATACTTTTACTATATACAAATATACAATCAATTATACTTTTAATCAATTATATTCAATCACTTTTCGATAAGAAGCATTGCTTCTTAATTTTCTATGCTAATATTTTTTTCTTCCTTATATCATTCATATAATTGTCCAAATATAGTTTGTTTGTTTCCTTAATTGTACAGACCCGAACATACTAACAGCAAAATTAACGCTATGACCAATTACTTTAACTTAAATTGGACATATTAGTTTTTTTACTACGTACAATTACACATATTATTATTATATTAAGATTACAATTTATGCAATCTGTATGAACTTACCTGTTTTAATTCACAACTCTACACAATTACAATCTACGTACTCTATTTTTAGTACACCATAATAGATTACCTTTGCCTTATTTAGCTTATACATCGTTAATGCATCTAATATTAAAGAATACAAAGAAACAATTATACGAAGAAAGACGACTATGCAAAGGAATACAACTACACAAAGAAAAATAATTACGCAAAAAAGACGATTACACAAGAAAAAAATTTATTATCGTTATATTCAAAAAACTTACGTTGTTTATAAATTCCATCGGCTCGTTATTCTTTGTCTCGCTAAAAGCCCATTTCCTAAAGAGATTAAAAAGACTCTAATTAATCTCATTATTAAAACCAAGTCAAAATACAAAAATGAAACTTTTTTATGTATATTTAATATTAATTACATGATTCTCTAAAAGTATTTAAACCATTATATCTTTTCTTGCTAATTTTCTTCGAACCTCTCATTTACACCACTAAATCATTATAAATTTTAAAAAAATATTTCTGACTTTAACCATGACACATCAATTACATAATATTTATGTATTTGATGATGAATATGAAACTTTACAAGACTGGTCTGCTTACCCCGCTAGTGATTCTCGCCCACATCCCATGATACTGATCTTCCAAACCAAAACAATACATATTGGAGACCTTCTCCGAGTTTACAAAGATTATACAACAAATTCCAAGAAGTTATCCTAACTCAATACCCCCGAATCGCCTGTGTATATTGCAGAAGATTCTTATATCCGAAGAAAGCCTCCTGGGTTCTTTATAATTCATCAATTACTTATCCTTTACAACTCCATATACCGAATGTTACTTTATCTTTCAACTCTAATGTTGATCATATCACCGAGTTAAGAGTTCCTACTTGTACCTCTTATAAACAACCTTCAACAAGGTTTTCATTTCCCCACCTCTCTCCTATGCCAAATGAAATTATTTCTGTTCCTCTACACAAAAGAAAATTTCTGTCTCCCGTTTACTTATATTGTTCTTTAGGAAGAACTACAAACTGTAACCCTTACTCAGAATATAGAAGTTTAACTGATACAATGAATTACTCACGTAATGTTAGAGCACACGCTTTATATTCAGGAATTCTGGGCACTTTCCTAGAAACAAATAATGATAATACTAACAATTCAATCAACAATCCCATTAACGACGAAATTTTACATCGTGCTGCTACCTGGCTAGCCCAGAATAATCCTTATCTTCGTTCATTAGCCAATAACTTATCATCAAATAAAAGAGCTCCTGAACTTAATAATCCTTTTCCAAGTGCTATGCATATTCCAACTAACTTTAATGCGCCCGCTGTCAATCCTAATGATATAATAATACTGAATTATAACTTTCTTGAAGAAGTTCACAATGAAGACTTCCATTATACTAGATTAATAGCAGGCTTTATTCAAGAAAGTAACAACTTACGTCTACCAATTTCTATATATGATCCAAACTTAGAGCCTTTATTGTTTTCCGATTTATTCACAGATGGCAAAGGTCATTTTCATTATATATTAAACCAAAACCAATCAAATGAAATTCATACTGAAACATATGAAAAATATATTAAACAACGGCTACTAAACATTGATCCAAGATGGAGGCTTCACCATTACTGGCCTTCATGGTCCTATCTTCAATTAGAGAAACTAAGACATCACCAAAACACTCAACATCTATTACTACAAAATCGTTCAAATTCTGCTAGTAACGAACGTCTTCCATCAGGAAGAGATCTACTTCATCCTAGTGCTTACACCTTCTACAATATTATCAACGAAAATATAACAATTCCTATTCCTTCCTTTGTACGTACAGGTGATACTTACTTTCACCAAAAACAACTTCATTTAAATGCTATGTTGCAAAAATTTGGATTACCTACTTTGTTTATAACCCTAAGTATAGCAGAAGGCTGATGAACTCATCTTAATACCATACTTCATAATAGTGATAATAGTGATACTTTACCTACCAACAGGCCATTTCATTGTACAAATTACTTTGTTCACAATTTTCAATCTCTTAAAAATGAACTTTATAAAAAATCAAACCTCACAGGATTTGGTGAAATTACTAACTTCTTCGACAGAATCGAATTTCAAAATAGAGGTGCCGCTTATACGCATAGTTGTTGGGGTGGTTGGTCAACTAATAGAATCAAACCTATATGTGGACCCTTGATAGATTTACATAGTACAGATTTTTGACCGATTGTAATTGGCTAATTTTATTGTAATATGAAAAAAAGAAAAATTAACATTCAACATCAAAAATCTGGTTAAATTTCATTAACGCATTTTGCACGCTAAAGTCTACCACTTTAATATCGTTTTTTTCTTTTCTAACATTTCGTCTAATACTAACGATTCCATCCTTAATATCCTTTTTTGAAAATTTTG